GTGTCCAAAACTGTCGCTCGACTTGGAGCACCATCTTGGACTCTGATCACGCTCTCGTGTGTGCCAACCTGCAGGTGCGTTACAGCAAACGTCCGCAACGTCACTCTAAGCGCATTGACACCAGTCTGCTGGCGAAGCCAGGTGTTCGCAATGTGTACCAAACTACACTGGCATCTGGGCTGAGCAAGCGTCCACTGAACACCGTCGAAAATCACTGGTCGTATATTCGTCAGACCTTCCTATCAGCAGGCGTGTCTTCATGTGGCAAATCAAATTGCCAACCAAGACATTGGGTCGCTACAATGTCTCTGGATGTTATGGATGCTCGCCGACGTATACCGGCTGGAAGCGAATACAGTAAGACTCGCAAATTTCTCAGAGTAAAACTGCGTGCTAGCCTGAAGACAGAGCGCGAAGCCTAGTGATCTCAGCTTACATCAGAAATAGAAACAGCCGCTGCCGTTGGTAATCATCGTAAGGTATTCTGCCTGCCGCTTGGTGGTAGCGGGACAATACGCGAGGAGAGTGGACAGCCGATACACAGTTTGTCAAAACCCTTCATGCGTTGCGCCGAACACTTTGCAAGGCAGTTCAAACCAATCTGAGTTATCGCTTTATATTTCGAGCATTGATTGCCGTTCTCCATTGGCCGTCTCCTTAGATCCGCTCTCACGCACAGAAGTCGCACTTGAGATCAGACTGTTGAAATTGCGTGAGGGCGCTCGTGCAGATAGAATTCCCCAAGCTCTCCACAAATTCGGGGTACCTTCTCTAGGAGATAATTTACACGAGTTGCTAATGGAAGTTTGGGAGCAGGAGACTGTCTCGACACACTGCAGCCACTTCGTCATAGTCCCAATTTTCAATAGAGACACCCGTTCGGAATGCGGCAAAAATATAGGGATCAGTGTGATCTCGATTGCTTCTAAATGGCTTGCCTCTGTCGTTCTCCACGGATTGACTGCTGCTCGTGAAGGCCAGATCCGCGGCGCACCATGCGGGAATCGTCGAAATCGAGGCTGTATGGACCACTTGTTCACTTTGTGTCAATTGTTGCAGCACCGCCATGTTTCTTGGCAACCCAAAGTTGTCGTGTTTCTCGACATAAAAAGTTCCTTCTATTTGCCGGATCAGTGTGTATTTTGGGACTGTCTCTTGAGAAGAATTGTGCCCGATACATATGTAAACATTATCAAAGCACTGTACGCGCGTAGTTCGAGCAGAGTGAGGGTCAATGGAAAACTGTCACCGCCCTTCGATATCTCCAGCCATGTGAGACAGTTATCCGCTGTCGCCTTTCCGATTTAACTTCGCTATTGATTAAGTCACGCAAACAGCGTTCGCTGGACACAACCTAGAAGGTGTGGAGCTACTACCTGGTAAGCGACTTCTTGACTTGGACTACGCGGATGACAGTGCTAAAACGTGCTAGGCTGCACTGGACTGATTAGCACTCGCTTTCTACCCTATTGGGCTATGCTTTGTTTCATCGAAATGCCAAGTTCTCCAAGCTTGACAGGGTCACACCACTGTGCTAACGCTTTGTGGTGATCAGCTAGAAGTCCTTCAGAAATTCAAGTACCATAGCAGCTATATTAGCGCCCGTGGGATCGAAGCTGAGATTACGAACCGTATAGCAAAAGCTCGAGGTGCATTTAGCAATCTCCTCCACATGTGGCTCCGACGCGACGTCACTCTCGACTTGAAGGGTAGTGCTTTTAATGCAGCCGTCCGTTCAACCCTCTTATACGGTAGTGAAACTTGCCCCATCAGGTCGACAGACATAAACAGGCTAGTCACGTTCGATTATCTCTGCCTTCACAGTTCAGCTCATATCTGGTGGGAGCACCGCGTGCTCAAAGAGTGTGTTCGGCGTCGCACATTTGGTGCAAGAATAGCTAGCGAACCGCTCAGCATCATTATATCACGTACCAGGCTCCGATGGCTAAGCCACGTGTTACGCATGCCAGCACACCGACTCTTGCGATGAGCTTTGTTTGCGCACCGGGGGTGCGGTTGGAAGTGGAGGAGGGGAGGCCCAGCGATGTATTGGTCGAGAGCAATGAAATTCCTCACTTCGAAGTTGACATCGGTTGGTGCATCCCGACTGTCTGGCTGGGGTCCTAAAGACGATGCATACGTTTGGTTGGACACACTTACTGATATGGCTAGGATCCGGCCTCAGTGTCGTTTGTGTTGTGAGTTCCTTTGTCCATCCCCCTTCTGCTTAACCTCCCCTCCAATTACGATCTGATTTGTTAGGCATAAGATAACTCTCTTTATGCGGCACGATAGCCGACTGTTAGCTCCCCGGAACGATGTCCATCTGTTATTGGGAACTCAGTCGGTCTGCCTCTGCTGCTTTTTCTTCTCATCTTTTGTATTGCGGCACAATAGCTGTGGCGTTTTCCACCTGCAACTGACGTGTCTAATGCTGCTCATGATGATTTGGGTAGATAACACATAACATTTCTGTGCTTCTATCAAGTTCACAGTTACCGAAACTACGAGGTTTCATTTTAACCTTAGAACTTGTGCTTTTTGGGATTTTGGTTCGTTATTCGAATAGACAGTAAATACTCTTAACATACAAGCCGCGAGTCCTTAACCGTTGTGACGAGTTACACGCCACTAACTGACATAATGATAAAAACGTCTGCCTGCAGTGTCATCACTTGAGTTTGCGGTCACAATTTAGCTGCCGCTGACTGGAAAGTTCAAACGGTAACGAAATCTACCGTGACGTTCGTCGCTGGCAATAGCCGAGCCCAGAATCAATCTGGTTCTGCCACGACTCAGTGAAATGTCACAAAGCAACTGTTGGTGGCGATTCACAGTACGCGTACCGACTAATACGTAGAATCTGTACCTCAAGTTATCAAGGTTATCATAAGCATCATCAAAGCTTCACTTCAGCAAATATTTATACTTAAACCCTACAAAACATTTGGAAAGCCAGACCAAACAAGCTCTTCATAGATGGGAACAAATGGGACAGACCACGAAGTTAGGACACATCAAGATGAAACCCAAGGATTTAGTGACACCACTGTTCTATGGCCTACCCAAAGTACACAAAGGTGGGGTACTGCTTCTGCCTATCGTGTCATTAGCAGGGGCACGGAATTTTAAACTGTCTAAGAAACTCTGAAAACGGCTAAAAACACCTAATTCCAGGCTCAGCGCATTTAATCAACTCGGCAGGTCGATTTCTTAGGAAACTCAAGGTAATAACTATAGAAAGAGACCAGATGATGGTATCCTTTGATGTTACAGCTTTATTCACATCTATCGACACGAAGCTGGCAAGGCAAACAATTATAACCCTACTTGAACAACATGGGGCAGCAAATTCGAACAACATAAGTAGAATCACCCAAGTCATGAAATTGCTTGAATTCTGTCTCAACACACACTTCACTTTCAATGGTCAAAGTTACAAACAGATAATGGGCACACCAATGTGTTCACCAATCCCTGGACTGGTGGCCGATGCTGTGATTCAAGCACTGAAACAAAGGACATTGCCGATGATGAAGCCCAAACCTTGGGTACGTAAGGTGGACGTTACTTTCTCATCCTCACTACATGAAACACACTATCTGATCAATAATATTTTTCCCGGTATCCATTTCACTAAAGGGAAGGCGAACAACTACCGGCTGCCATTCTTAAACGTGCTCATGGAAAGACATGCTTGCGGGACCTTGGAAACAACAGTCTATCGAAAAGCGACGCACACAGATCCGATCTTAAACTATCGCAGTAACCAGCCGGCCAATTAAAAGCGCAGTTGCTTGAGGACAGTTTTCAAACGAGCCCAAACAATTGTAGCATGCTGAGGAAGAGGAAGACCACTTAGTTAAAATGTTCCAGCAGAATTTGTACCCTAAAAGTTTTATTCTACGCTGCATGAAGTCGAAAAACCAACCAACTGCCGCTTCCGCAAGCGCAACAGAAAGGAAAACATTCGTCCTACCTTACCTCCATGGGATTTCTGAGATGGCAGCGGGGCTTTTAACGGCTCACAGGATCAACTTTGCACTTGAAGCAACGGAACTATTCGGAGTAAACTTTTCAGGGCAAAAGACCAACTGAGTAGATAAGAAACATCAAGTGTGATCTACAAAATTTTCTGCAAAATTTATGACAAGTACTGCGTGGGCCAGGCAGGGAGGAAAGTTGGCACAAGACTGCATGAACGCAGTCTGGCCATCCGCCGCCATAATGAAAGATCATTAATGTCAGTACATATTTTGGCCGAAGGCCATCAGTTCGATCTGGGGAACACCAGGATATTTGGAAGGGCAAAGAACCGCAGAGCATGTGAGTTCCTCGAGGCCTGGCATTGAGGCCAGAACTTAATCAACAAGCATTTAGAACTCGAAGGGGTCTACGAAGCTCTGCAGGTGGGGTCAAAAATAAGTGCCAGATTGATAGGACGTAGACGTGGCCACTTGACCTACCCACATGCGCCAATCGAAGATACATACAAAGCGGGAGACGATTAATAGTCACTGGAATCTGACAGTGGGTTACGAGACTCCGCAAATCAGACCACTATAGCCGCACTGAGGGTGTTGCCTAGTTTGGCAACGAAACGTCTGCAACAAAATTGCCTAGCTCGGAGAACACAACCACCGTGTCATATTTAAATGAATTTCTATCTTCATGCTATGCCTGACTTTTTCCGTCTCATTCATAAATAGAAGTGTATACACATTAAACGTGATTCACATAAATATGACATCAACTCCCGTTGACGACTATTCACGCGAATTGAAAATGAAGTTTAAATACTTTCCACGTTAGTTCAGGCGACTCATTCGCAACCGTGTTCACCCCTAGTGCAATATGTTTAGCAGACACGACACACAATATGCCAAACAAAGAAACTGGATACGTATCACTATTACGTGATCAAAGCCCTTCTACTCATCACTCACTGTGATAATTCCGGAGCATCACACCATTCTCTAATTGCAGAAAACAAAATACTGGCCAAATGGAAATCCAGTTTTTACGAGGTTTTTAATTTGCACTGAATTAAACAAAAGGGTGAAATTTTAGTGATGGTCCTGATGAGAGTGCTCATCGGGGTTCACCATCTCTGGTGAGCCAGTGAAGTAATCCACCGCATCACTCAACTCGGCTGCTGGTAGTTTCAATTCCGGATCAACTTCGGTTTCGTTAGACACGAAGACAAATGGACGGTTGTCGTCTGCGAAAGAAGTAAAAGAGAAACCAGTGTCCAAAAACGTAACATGGCTAGGCATATCTATTTTCGACAAAAAATTAGATAGACTTACAGGAACCTGGAGTTAGTGTCGGGTTGACAGCTTTGTTGCACCTGAACGACTCAAGTGTATCTAAAAGTGTTGGACCACCAAAAATCTCTTCCTGATCCAAACGGCACGCAGTATAGTTTAAGTGGACCTTGTCTATTGGGCACCTAACTATTTTATAATTACATCGTCTTTCTCCCTACGAGAAACGGAAGTTTTGAAGTAGAGGTAATACCTAGTGAACATACAACTGGCTGACGTATTTATTATATTGTTCCACCGGATGGATCATTTCCCAGATATCCAGGCCTTGCAATGGTTAAGTTGTGTATAAGTTTTTCATTTATTGGCACCGGAAAACCGGCTTGAGCTCGCAGCTACATGCTTTTGCTCATTTTGACTACTAAGTTTGAATCCGCACACTTACTCCATTGTTCACGTTTCCCGAGCACAGGTAAACATTGATAAGCAGTAAGCACTCTATATGTATGATGATCGTCGCACGGAAATAGATGCCGAGTGTTTGGATTGAGACACACCGTTCCTGTTGGGTCAGCGATTTACACTAAATTGAACAAGAACTAGTTTCTTCAATGGGACATCGTCCAAAACAGCAAGAATGCCAAGGTGCTCAGCCTTTAGATTGATCTCTCCCTTTTTAATCTATTCAGCTATGGATAGGCAGGATAGTAGCTATGTTTACCGATAACCTAATGCGCTAAATGCTAGGAGTCCATTTACTAGTACTAGCTGTCATCTAACTGTTTAGACTCAGATTTAACACGCTGGTAGCGTCAGATGGCATAACTATATGTTTATTTCAATTCTATTGTGGTCCTTACTTTGACTTGTGAACTTATAGTGACTTGTAGATTCCCCATATGTGTAAATTATTCTACAATACTCCAGAATAATATTTTTCGTATGTATCAGGGAATTAAGCGGTTTGTTTCTTTGAATGTTGCTCCCGTTTGTTTGAGTCACACATGTAATACGCGGGAATCTGCTTTGCAACCAGTCGGATGCGACCTGCTGCTAGGTGCTCGACATACATCCATATGCTCCCTAGCTAGCTCACTACTGGTGCCTTAATTTTAGCTTCAGCCACGTTAGCGATCATCCAATAAAGCTCTTCTTGCTTACTTTTATGTGTTCTCCCGTGTGGTTTCGGTTGGTCATTTAGCCGCGAATCTGATATATGGCGCAATTATTTGGAACGTACCGCAGTTAGCGTGATTTCCGAGATCGTGCTAAAACTAGCGACACTTAGATCTGTAAGTGGCCCGCGTAAATTTATCTCACTGATGATGTCGTCCAGCCTGCCGATGAAACGTTTGCAACCAAATCAACCAGCTCGGAGAACACCTGCATATTCTCACACTTTCAAATTTTTTAACACAATATCAATTTATTAGGCTGGCCATATATATTTGTCCTCAATAATGAAGTGCCAAAAACTTGAACGAGATCCAAGCCACTGGTCTGTGGTTGCTATTACATTTGCAGCTACCTTGTACATGATTTCAATGTTCTTACAAAGTTTCTCCTGACACTATGTGCTTGAGGCTGCTGTCACAGATGTCGAGATTTAAGGGAACTTCGTGTTTCTTTAATCATATCAGGGTTAAAGCTATATTAGCAAGCACACATCCCACTGGGTCCTGAATCCATTGTTAAAAAGACATATCTATATCTGAAAACAACCTATTGCAAACTGTTGCCGGGACCACCGGCTTACAAGTGCTTGAAACAAATTTCATCACCGATTCATTTTATGGATTATGAATGTTACCGTCGGCGTTCACCTGGGAGAAGAAGCTTAGGTTCGGCTGTATACATTTTGTTGAGTCGTCTATAACTGATGAATAGGTTCCCAAGTGTTTCTCCTGTTATCTTGTGACCTTTGAGATTAGTTATGCTGACATCCCACGAAAATGGACTGAGTATTATACTATACTAGTAAGCATGCTGATTTCGAATTTTTCAAACTGACTTATCGAACAGACTCCTCGTGGTACCAGCATGTTGGTTCGAGTATTATTGCGTTCTCGCGATTGGTTGGGGGACAGCGTTCCAAAAATGGTGGCTTATTGCCTAGCAAACGTCCTCCCTCTAAAAAGCCAAATATATCCGTTTAACAGCATTTAACATGGCACATGCAACTCGAAACTAAGTAAGGCCAGTGCCCCTTGCTTCACTCCGATCGATCGTTGTATTCCTGCGGACTGCTGCTGAACTTGTGGACAGGATTGATACCTACTAGCAACGGACTAGGCGGAAAGCGTATGAAATGTACTCTCGGTCACCGGCTCCCACTGGGCGTGATTACATAATTTTACTCCGCTGCCGTGCAGCCATAAACCCGGCGTGATGAATTCTAAGCCAGCTACATACTTAGGCTAGGGAAAGGGAGTAGTATTGTGTTCTACGACAAGACAATGGATCACAATGTGTTGATTGGTTAGTCCTTTTATCATAACCGGACCTACCATTGTAGTCCATGGCTCTGATGGCTCCATGCTGGTCCTTAGGCTGCCATATATACATATACATGTAAATTTTTACGTAAATAACATTTACCAACCGGGGTTGCTTTACCGGGCTACGCACCATGCACAATAAGTTGATGGGCAGTAGCACGCCTCACTTCATTTGCTTTGTTGTGGAATCGATGGACCAAGTGTTCTTTGTGCACGTACCAAGGAAGCCCAGGGTGACCGACCGGTTGAGCTACGAGGAAGAAAACATAAAAGTGAGGCAGTTAAAGACCGATATTCGGAGTGCTATTTGCTTAAGGTGTGGTGACGGTCAATATAAATATCCGGAATGGAAACAACCCGTACGTTCGATTGATTTGTGGACCTAGCATAGCATTTCACTTAGTTCGAATTGTCTTCACCAATACAATAATAGCGTACTTTTCAAATTGCAGAAGGGAACTAACTACTTTACATTTCTTAAACGACAAATTCTCGCTGAAACTATCAAATTACTTCATCGTATAGGCAGCCTGTGGTGCAAGATTGTGTGCTCACTTGTGGCAATATCCTTTCTAACCAAATGTATTCTCCTGCTTAGATATCCTCGCTTGGTTCTCACACTGCTGTGTAGAAATAAACTCAAACCATCTGTGGCTAAGCTCAAGCGTATGGCATCCGCTCACTTGGAAACGGTTGCCTCCAAACTTCTGAGTTTACTGGAAGCTCACGCATGCCTAATACATGTGAAAGAAGATCTATCGGTGTATTATCGTGTTGTGTTCGCTAACTTTTGTAAATCCACACTCAATCTTACAAGGCGAAATCGGAATATTCGGTTGGAGAACTCGCTTACGAACAGCCAGGATGAGGAACCAATTGTTCGATATCCTAGCAAGTATGTGGTGAATTTATCAGACCTACAACTTGACGCGTTGCAGATAGAAGCTTTGTCATTTGGGCTTGCTCACAAAATTCCTCCTACAAGACTGAACGGATTCTTTATAGAAGCACAGTTTGCGAACTTTTTAATCAATTTAAGGAGCTTCAACCATCTAGCGCTGAGAGCGTCGTTTGGTTTCGAAACAAATTGACGGACAGTGCCCACGAATTTAACACTGTGCCAATGATTGAAAAACACATTTAAAATCCGACACCTTCAGGCGGTGCGTGAACTGCGTACTAAGAACGTAGTTGTGATGAAACCAGATAAGGGCTCTGAAGTGGTGATCATGAACAAGGCCGAGTATACTCGGAAACTGAGTAGCATACTCAACGACACAAGCCAATTTAAACGAGTTAATACGATGGAGAACGTAGCCGACGTTGAAACTAGCATAGCTGCCCATCTTGAAATGCTTTTCCTTCATCGTGTGATTGATAGTGACAAATATAATGGTTTGAAGCCAAGTGGCAGCACTACTCCGCAGCTATACGGGTCATCGAACACGCACAAGAGTGCAGTACCACTTAGGCCGATTCTATTAATGGTAAATTCGCCGCAGCATAAATTGGCTCGCTGGCTAGTGAAAATAATTTCGCCTCTGCGACAACTGTCCAATCCATATGGTCTTAAATCTTCCATTCAACCTAACGATGACTTAGATGACATCAACCTCTCCGATAAGATCATGTGTTCCTTAGATGTGGAATCTCTATTGACAAACGTCCCAGTAAAACAAACTGTTGACTACATATATGAGCGAGCTTAGCAATCAATTTATTCGTCACCAATTCCAGTCGAATAACTAAAGGAATCCTTGTGTACAACAAACTTTGGTTTCCACTTTCAGAACACCCCGTATCGTTAAATCGATGGAGTGGCAATGGGTAGCCCACTAAGCCCTGTACTTGCCGATATCTTCATGCTGATGATAGAAATAGGCATATCTGCAGAAATAGCCCAGTTACCATAATATAAGCATTAAGTGGATGACATGTTGGCCTTTTGTTCATCGGAGCAGCAGATTGTCCAGTTAGTGCAGCAACACAACTGCGCACATACGAAGTGGAACAGAAGAACTGTCTGCTATTCTTAGACATCCTCATCTGTCGCAGAGATGACGGGCATATTATCTACAGAAAGGCAACCTGATCTGGCCAACACCTGCACTTCACCAGCTTCACACGAGTGTGGTACAAGCGGACCCTTGTAAAAATTTCAGTTAGTCGTGCTAGTGGAATTTTCTCTGCTGATGGTCTAGCCGAGGAGCTAGAATTAATTACAACACTTGTTGCAAATGGTTAGCCAAGTAGATTTATAGAGAAACACAGTCAACAGCGAGGCGCGAAAGACTTGGTGCATACGGCAGCTAAGAAAAATATCTATATCGAGTTGTCTTTCAAGGGTGACTTTACATTATTGAAAACCACAAAACCTTTAATCTCTGCTACTTAGAGAAGTTACCGTGCTTCTCGAGTTGTGGTCAGCCATAGAACCTATAACTTGTCAGTGCGTCCAACGGAGGAAGCTCAACCGATAGGGGCCAACTCACACTGCATATACAAATTCGTGTGCAACTGCGGAGACAGTTACATAGGCAGAACCAATCAGTCTTTGAATTCCTGAATAAAAGAACACGTGAAATTGACCAGCATCCCTGTCCCACAGAAGTTCCCTGCTTGTGCAAGCCTCCAGCTTCCTCAATAGGTAAACACCTACTGACTACGCATCACCGGATAGAAATGACACCACAGCGGTTCCCTTACACAGATATATTTGCTTTGCCTAAGCCTAAGAGTAACACGTTGGTGTGCGCACAGAACTTGAACTTGAACGGATATTCCACACGTGCACGCTCCCAATTCAGCGACAGTGTCATTCCGAACAAAAGATCTTGTGTGTAACCATCTATATTTTAACCGACGTGGGCGTTAGAAAGCTCACGTATATCAGCCACACAGACTGCAAGTGAAATCGACCGATTTCCAGTGCGTGTGTTTGTATGTTAGCATCCACCGGATGCCAATTTCGCCCTGGCTACCGCCACAGCCCGTACTTCTGAGTCTGACCACGTACCACATTTTAAGTGTGATTATTTTTAGTGCCAAATTTTCCCATAAATTAATGTCCTATTATTGTTTGCTGCTTTAAGTTGCTCCACTTTTCATAATACGTATATCCTTACGTCTGTAAACATTGTGAACAATATTCTTAACATCAGATGTTCTCATTCTCACAGAACTACACCCCATGTTGAATACGGTTGTGAAAAGACAAGTTGCATCCCACAAATCATGAGGCCAACTATCTCCAACTGTAGTGTCTAGTTAGCTTAGTTATCTCAGTCACTCAGCTTCCCCCTTCATTTGTCTTCTGTAGTATTTCATTTATGCCCCTGCGGAGTGGAGCCCCCCAATCCCGACTCATCCTGACCAACTAACATACACCATAGCGCTGGTGTTTGGTTATTTCAAAACTTACTAGTGAACCGCAATTTCGTGACCGACAAGAGCATCAGCTTCTTGTTTGAAGTATTTACCTTAAGCCATAGCATTCTACTCCACAATCCCAAAAGTTATGGTCTAGACGACGAAAGTATGAGTCAACTCGACAATATTTTCAATTTAAATCGCCTGGAAATAAGCATCCGCGTTTTTGTCCTACCCAAATGACATTGAAGATAACGTACGACAGGGTTCTGTTTTATATGGTATTCTACCCGGTCTTCTTCTAACTTCATCTTCCTCGTGGCCGAAATTAAAACAACGAAGGATCAGGGGATTACACGACCACACATGCGCTTGAACAGGCTTCAAATTACTTCGTGCATATGGGTTTGATGTTAGGTGCGGATTACGTTGATTTGTTCAGTCACAATATCAACACTCTATAATGCTCACTTTGACGAACGTGACCTGCAGAACTCTTTGCTGTGATGTGAGTTCGAGGTAACCACAAAATTGACCTCAGTTAATCCAAGTAATCTGTATTTTGAAGCAGATGAATATCGGCAGCGTCTCAAAAGTACCTTCCAGTTAGTCGGCATAATAATCAGAAAGAGGTAATCAACGTGTCTATCTGTTACAAAAGTCACACAAGAGCTTTGATGTAGTCTGGAGCAAGCCAAGTCCGGCGACGAAGAACAACAGAGGTCCTCGTTACTTTTCGTACCAGCCAAGGTAGAAAGGTATCTGAAAATGTCCGGGTTAATCAGTGAATTCATATTTATCAGGCACTTTCTGATCCCGACCAAATCTAACTAGTTGCTGAAACCTAGGTATGCTACTGAACTTAGAGTTAACGTCGTGAACCTGAGCGAGCAATACCGGCGTTTAGAATGCCAACGATAGTACATCTCCCTTGCAGCTTACCAACACCGCAAGTCTCACTAAAACACCGTTTGTCTTGCACGTAATATGATATATACAAAGAGCATTGACACATGATCCGTAAAATCGTTGAATATCAAGCTGCAACTAAGTACAAACAAAGAAATAATCAGTTTGCATTCTGTTCTTACCCTAGTTCCCTACCACAAGGAAGCTCTAAAAACAGTGTAGTGGATGAAAGCTTTACTTTTCACAAAGAACAGTAAATATAAAGACCTGCATTCGCCAAGTTCAACTTTAGACCTGCATTTTACTTTGTATACTGACTTTCTAGTTCCAACTTCAGTGTGCAACACCACCTTAATCGCGTTCATTCCATTAATCCTAATAGCTTGCCCCATAGCTGTACCCATCATATTAAGGTCTATTCGCGGAGCTCAATGGCCTAGTTATCACGGCCATAGCCGTCAATTCGTCATGGGCCGGATTGCACTCAGAGCCGGCTAGCACTACCTGACGAGTTCCAATCAAGAAGACAGCAACACCGAAACACACCACTTCCAGGTTTATAGTCTCAAATCGACAATTGTTATTTGGTGGCCATGTATGAACACTTCATAACTAAATGTAAGGTTGAATATCCAAAGTGGTTGGCAGACTTAATGCGTACACTCGCATGCTACGACCTGTCACGAGAAACCATGCGGGATCCAAACCTCGAGGTTTTGGAGTGATCGCACTTTAACTATAAATTTATACGGCGTATGAATCCCTATTATACTACTATCAGTGGGTAGTAAGGTGGGGTGTAGAAAAATAGTAAAAAGAGTACTTTTACTGTTGAAAGAAAGGAATTATTTTTACTGGATGTTGGTGTGCTCGCAGTGTATCTGGGTTGTGACAAACGATCTCGGTTGGGGCTACAATTTGCTTAGAAGCAAACATATGGTATTTCGAGCAGTGGAACCGCTTCCGAAGTAT